AACTTACTTTAGTACAAGCGGACAGTGTTATGAAAGAGATTGAAGTAAAAGATAGCGGTGGAGATGTGGTAAACGACATAGAAGAAATGTTGGTTAAACTTAATTGATACTTATGTTTGAGAATAAATAAATGTAATTGAAATCTAAACTTATTATAATGTTTTTAATAATTATATTTCCGTTACACGTCCCCGGTAAATGCTTTTTGTTTTTACTTTTACAATAAGCTGATCGATTTCCTCGACATCCGTCACTTTATGAACGCCGCCGATATGGCGTCGCATCCTAAAAGTAATATGGCGAAACTTATTGAATAGAATATACATTGATACAAGTTTATTCCAAACGTACTTTGATTTTTTTACAAATCCCTTGTCGCATATAGAGCATCGCAATGGTAAGCCTGTGTGCTCTTTACGATGCTGTAGCATTGTTGATTGATGAGCGTACTCTTTTCCACACAAGTTGCATTTATAACGATGACCTTCATGATGCCGGACGTGCTTATTCAAAACATGAACATACTTGAAACATTTGTTGCATTTCGGACACTTGTATGGTAGTTCACCAGAATGACTTCTTAGATGGATTTCAAGATCAACAGGCCGCGGATACTGCTTTGAGCAAACTTTACATTTCAACGAAAGCCCAGTATGACATTGTTTATGAAGCTTTAGACCGCCTTTGTAAAAGAAAGATTTTTCGCACTGGTCACATTTGAATTGGGGTTCCCGGTTTTCTTCATGAGTTTTGATGTGGGTTTTGTATGCATTTTGAGTAAAAAATTTTCGCTGGTACTCGTTGCAACTTATAGACCTCTTTCTATTCGCCTGATGGGTCTCTTCGTGCCTCTTCAATCCAACTGCATCTTCAAAGGTAGACGCTGAACAACAAAGAAAACCGTATTTTTTTCACAAAACAATTACTTTAAAAAAGTGCGGAACACATCATTGAAACTTGAATAAATGTTATGCATTAACATTTTCTTGTGCATTCACCACTTTTCCAAATCCAATATTATTCAAAACAAAACTAATCGGAGCTTTACCGAAGTCTATAAGTAGTCCGTAAAGTACAAGCTCAAGGGCTTTAAAATAAAAATATTTATGGGCAGGAATTATTTATGCGCAGTTTTTTTTATATACAGAAACTATAAAATTGCAGAATTTATTATTTAAATTCTTTATATCGCGCCTTTGGTTAACTAGAAACAATTTTGAAATTTCATAAAAAATAATATCCCTATAACGAGAGTACAAAACTTTGTTTATCTAGCTAATGAAATGTATGTACTGGTTGAGCAAAATATGTTCGATTCTTTACCGATTTAGGAAAAATACAATAAATATATGATTATTTTAATACAAATTTACGGCATGCGTAACAAAGCATGATTTGTTCATTTTTGGAGTGAAACCGAGATATATGTCGCTTGTATTGATTTCCCTTTAATGGTTTACTGCAGTATTCGCAAATAATCATAGAAGATGCTCCACATGCGTTGGTAGCACTTTGCTTACCTATTTCTGGAGCCATTCGTGATAATTCCTTTTCCGGATCATCGATGCTGTTGGGTTTATATTTGAGGCGTTCCTCTAAACATTCATTCTTTTTGGAATTCTTTAAATGCCATAATTCTGTTTCTTCCATTTCCGTGAGTAAATAATTCTCCGAGTTGTTGTTGTTGTTTGTAGACTGCCGATTTTCGGGGGAACTATTCAAAGTGTCTAAATCGTGAGCTTCTCTTTGTTCTTCAATTAAGTATTCAATAGCTAAATGCTTTCAATGCAGACAAATTTTTTTTTTTCAAGATTAAAAATGTATTACATATTTCACATGCATACACACATATGTTCATATATATATATATATACCTCTTCATATGATACTTGCTCAGATTCGCAACGACTGGAATCATCGTACTCTTGCATATTTATCCACTCGAAACGTTCTGATTGATTCTTACATCCAGTGCCATGTCTACATAGCTCCTGATCAGACTTTTGTGCTTTTCTTATGAATCTGAATGCATTTATTAGCTCATGTACACAGTCCTTGCATAAGTAATGCATCTTCATTTGGGATTTTGGTGACGTCTTATTTACATCCAGTTGTGTACATAATTGAAAGCATTCCATTAACGTTAGTGGTTCATTGATGTCGTCCATCGGCATATACCAATCATAAAGCTCTTTAAACTGCTTTTTCAACAAACACGCCCGACATATATTTGCCATAGCCAAACTCATTGCAGTTTTATAAACANTTAACCGATAACTTTTCGGTGTCCATCCTAGTTTTATCGATTGTTTTTGCGAAAAAGAGGAGAAATGCCAAATGTAAAAGTAAACAAAAATGGACGCTAGCAAGGAAAAGAGGTTCGTAAAGGTATTTTTAATAAAATGTTAAGTTAAAATATATTTATATTGCTTAATATAGCAGAAAAACGTGATCACGGTGCCACAGAGAAGAAACATAACTTTTCCTTGGGATGTGAGAATAACAAGCACAACAAATTTGACAGCTAATAATCTGAGATTTGCCTGTGTAAACGGTGAGATTAAAAAACGAGCTCTAATTGAGATAATATTGATATGTGAACATACTTTAAGATGAGATAATTCGATAACCCTTATATACGGGAATCGATTTTCCTGTTGCAATTACCGATAATTACGAATCGATTTCTAATTTTAAGTGATGAAAAATGCTGAATTAGGTTTGTTCCACAAGCTAACCGAAGAAAAACTCGGACTAGAAAAATTGGTATAGTTTTTTGTAAACTTCGGCAAACATTTGTTTATCACAGTATCTTCTCCGAAAAAATTGTCCGAGTAATGTTTGTGTTGAAAATAATTAAATGCAAATT